TTGATCCTGGCTCTCTCCTCTTTGATCCTGGCTCTCTCCTCTTCCTCCTCTTGGCTCCTCTTCTTTGTGGAGAGACACACTTCCTCCTCACTCTCCGCTGTTATCAGCCGCTCCTTCTTCAGGGACATGTTTTTTACAAGCCTTTAGTTTTAGCAGCAATGCTAACCACAAAGAGACAACAGTGTCCAGGGCTGACACTCCTTCATGAAGCAGAGGAGATATTAGAGAGGCGTTTGGCCCCAGAGTTTAAGTGACAGGTGTCTCCTCAGTGTCACAGACTGCAGCAGTGCTCAGACACCTGTCTCCTGATGATCCACCTGTGAGGGGGCGGGGCTTCTCTGCAGAGGTCAACAAAGATCAACTAACCAGTGCCCAGCCTGACTCCGCCCACATGAACAGCCTGACTCCACCCACATAAACTGCCTGACTCCACCCACATGAACATTTGAAAGTTGTTTCTAAAAAGCGCGCTGCCTGAGGACCAAGGGACAAGAAGGGGGGCTTAGAACTGGGCGTGGTCTGGGCTGTGATTGACAGCTCACTTGTCACACATAAAAAGCAGACAGTTGTCATTACCATTAAAGCAGTAGTTTACACCAGAAAGTCTCATTCCTTTGTTTACACACTAAGATAATTGTAAAGCTACACACCTGAACCTAAGACACTGAATTATCTCAGCAGCAGTGGCTTTAACTCATGTAATTTTATTTTAATCCACCAGATGTCGCCAGAATACTCCAACTGCTGCTGGGGCGTGTGTGAGAGTTGGATGGGTTTATAACACTGGCTCAGAGTGACGTCACACATAACAACTGACGTCACACATAACAACTGACGTCACACATAACAACTGACGTCACACATAACAACTGACGTCACACACATAACAACTGACATCACACACATAACAACTGACATCACACACATAACAACTGACATCACACACACCAACTGACGTCACACACACCAACTGACGTCACACACACCAACTGACGTCACACACACCAACTGACGTCACACACACCAACTGACGTCACACACACCAACTGACGTCACACACACCAACTGACGTCACACACACCAACTGACGTCACACACACCAACTGACGTCACACACACCAACTGACATCACACACACCAACTGACGTCACACACACCAACTGACGTCACACACATGACGTCAGACACACCAACTGACATCACACACACACCAACTGACGTCACACACATGACGTCAGACACACCGACTGACGTCACACACACCAACTGACGTCACACACATGACGTCAGACACACAAACTGACGTCACACACACCATCTGACGTCACACACACCAACTGACGTCACACACACACACCACCTGACGTCACACACACCAACTGACGTCACACACACCAACTGACGTCACACACACCAACTGACGTCACACACACCAACTGACGTCACACACACCAACTGACGTCACACACACCAACTGACGTCACACACACCAACTGACGTCACACACACCAACTGACGTCACACACACCAACTGACATCACACACACACACCACCTGACGTCACACACACCGACTGACGTCACACACACCAACTGACGTCACACACATGACGTCACACACACCAACTGACATCACACACACCAACTGACGTCACACACACCAACTGACGTCACACACACCAACTGACGTCACACACACCAACTGACGTCACACACACCAACTGACGTCACACACACCAACTGACGTCACACACACCAACTGACGTCACACACACCAACTGACGTCACACACACCAACTGACATCACACACACCAACTGACATCACACACACCAACTGACGTCACACACACCAACTGACGTCACACACACCAACTGACATCACACACACACAACTGACATCACACACACCAACTGACGTCACACACACCAACTGACGTCACACACACCAACTGACATCACACACCAACTGACGTCACACACACCAACTGACGTCACACACACCAACTGACATCACACACACACCCAACTGACATCACACACACCAACTGACGTCACACACACCAACTGACGTCACACACATGACGTCACACACACCAACTGACATCACACACACCAACTGACGTCACACACACACCAACTGACGTCACACACACACCAACTGACATCACACACACACCAACTGACGTCACACACACCAACTGACATCACACACACACCAACTGACATCACACACACCAACTGACGTCACACACACCAACTGACGTCACACACATGACGTCACACACACCAACTGACATCACACACACCAACTGACGTCACACACATGACGTCACACACACCAACTGACATCACACACACCAACTGACGTCACACACACACCAACTGACATCACACACACACCAACTGACATCACACACACACCAACTGACGTCACACACACACCAACTGACGTCACACACACCTGGGGTCGTGCACTGACTTGAAATTGATGCTTAGAAAATCTGTTTTGGTGAAACCACATAGACTGACATTTTGGTTATGGGACAGCGCCCCCTGGTGGGCAGGTGGAAAGCTGTGTTGCTAACGCTCAGTCCAGCAGTGGTACTTCTGAGTGAAAAGAGTCAAAACTATGGATGTAGAGAAGCTAGTAAGAAGAAAAGAACTTGTTGCAAATCTGCAACGCCTGGAGAGGGTTGGGATTGGACAGTGTCTCGTGGGCTGATTTGTTCACATTTTTAAAGACTCTCTCAGTTCCATTTCCAAACACTGTGCTCATCATGAAAAGTTAGAAACCTGAGCTTTAACTCAGGTCTCTCTACGGTTCAAATGAAATACTCGGATGAACTTTCATGTTGTAAGTTTGTAAGTTTAAGGTTTCGTCAACGCATCCTTCAAACCCAGAAGTGCAACAGTGGAGTTCTCACACACACACACACCCACATACACCCACATACAAACACACACACACACACAGTTGGGAAATAGGAAGTGATAAAACACATAAACTGCTTCGAACAGTCGGTATCACTTAGTTCTCGACCTTTTCCGTCATCTGTGGAGGTGAGTCATGTGACCAGATCTGTTCTAATTCATGTAGTGGTCGTTGGTGAAAGATAGATATTTTTATTAAACTTATATTTAACCAGGAAAGTCCAAGTACCCATTACAGATTATAAAAACAGTTATATTTCAACGAGGACGTCTTAGATTCTCTCAATCTGGAACAAAGTTTAGATAATGTAAAGTTTAGGTTATGTTTACGTGATGCTAACCTCACAGTACGATGTCTTCTCATTCGCCTCATTTTAATTCAATGTATTTTTGTATCGCCCTAAACCACAGCAGTAGTTATCCCTGAGGACTTTATAAAACTACTTTGGCTTTTAAAATAATATCTTTGGTTGAAGATAAACAGAGAAACAAGTGTGAAAAACTCTCTCGGTCTGTTCCTCCCTAAGCTGCCACCAGAGGGAGACATTCGGGTTATTTAGCGTTTTTTTCTCTCCAACTTTGATAATTACCAGCTGCAAGAACAGACCTGCAATTGTAAAGAATGTGATTTAACCTGAGAGATTTCTAAAACTGATTCACTTACTGTCACGAGGTGGGAAGGAGGAGGACTCAAAATGCGAGAATGCCAAAATAAAGATTTAATAAAATAAAGTCCAAGGTAAAAACAAAACTCAACATCTAAAATACGGAACCAGGAGCACAAAATCAGGAACAGGACGAAACAGAAGTAGACAATACAATGGACCAGCCACAAGAGGAGGAGCACAGGGTAATTATAGACAGAGACACAGGTGAAACACATCAGGGCGGGGCAGACAATCAAGACACAGGAAACAGGACGTCAAAGTCAAACTAAAAACAAAGCACAGAGAACAGATATCAAAATAAAGCTAAAGTCCAAAATAAAATCCACACCATGACAGTACCCCCCCTCCAAGGGACAGCTCCCAGATGTCCCAAGAACAAAAGCGAGGCAGGGAGGGCGGAGGGGGTCTGGAGGACAGGCCAGGGGCAGTTCAGAGGCCAGAACATGCAGGGGCAGGAGCTGAAGCCCAGTGGTGACCTTCCACACGGAACTGGCTCACCCCGGGCGGAGACAAATGCCCGGCGGTGACGACAGACAGGAACAAAACCACCCCAGACGGAACTCATGTCTGGCGGTGGCAACAGGCGAAGGGAAGGAGAGGTCATCAAAGGGTATCAGGCGGACACAGGTGGGGAAATCCAGGCAGACGGGAACAATCATGCCAGGACTCCACTGGGTACCTCTCTCGTGGGACAGGGGGAGGAAACAGGACCACCCCGGACGGAGATCAATGCCCGGCGGTGGCGCATGGACAAAAAAACCACCCCAGACGGAATTCTTGCCTGGCGGTGGCTCGAGGTAGCAGGTAGAGGGCAGGCAGTGGAGATGGCAGAGAAAAAAAAAACAAATAAAAACTTGGTGGCAAACTGGGAGCAGGTGTGGGTGGAAAAAAATAAGCATTCCGCAGAGTCCAAATGTGGCTGGTCCATTCTGTCACGAGGTGGGAAGGAGGAGGACTCAAAATGCGAGAATGCCAAAATAAAGATTTAATAAAATAAAGTCCAAGGTAAAAACAAAACTCAACATATAAAATACGGAACCAGGAGCACAAAATCAGGAACACAAAATCAGGAACAGGACAGAACAGAAGTAGACAATACAATGGACCAGCAACAAGAGGAGAGGAGCACAGGGTAATTATAGACAGAGACACAGGTGAAACACATCAGGGCGGGGCAGGCAATCAAGACAGGGAAACAGGACGTCAAAGTCAAACTAAAAACAAAGCACAGAGAACAGATATCAAAATAAAGCTAAAGTCCAAAATAAAATCCACACCATGACACTTACGCTACTTTTCTCTAAACTAATACATGCTAATGCTAATTATTGCTAAATGTAGCTGTCTTCCTATTTAGTTTTGACGTCTTTAGTCTCTGAGTCTGCGATGTCCGAGTCTGCGATGTCCGAGTCTGCGATGTCCGAGTCTGCGAAGTCCGAGTCTGTGAACCTCCAGGATACTGTGGTTCCCGGTCCCTCATTGGCGGCTCCTCCATACTCCGCCCCTCAGTCCTCGGATCCAGGAGCCTTCAGTCCCGGGGCAGAGCTCCCCACAGACCAGACCGGACCTCCTCCTCCGTACTCTGCTCTGGCTCCACATCTGTGCGAAGAAAAAGGACTGGGTTCATGTGAGACTTTCCCAGAACCAGGACCGAACCCAGACCTCTGCCCCGACGAGGCGGCTCTGACCCCGTCTGCGTTTGACGACAAAACTGTGAGGAGAGCCTTTGTCCGGAAGGTAAGATCCATGGCAGGGATGTCAGACTGGTTTTGGATGGGGCCAAATTTAAAAACTTAAGAAAAGTTTGGGGCCAGAGGTATAAAAGTCTTTTGACAAATATGGACGTACTTGACGTGAGTTATTTTATAGTCTATAATAATAATAATAACTAGAAACTTGCAATGGCTGAAGCCATTGCGATTGACTGCGGAACAGATCTAATGTGGAAATCTGCTAAAAAAAATCCTTGAAATCCTTTAAAAGGCCTTGAAACTGTTAAAATACTTGATAGATATTTGAAACTCCTGAAGTCCTTGAAATTGTTGAAACCTTTAAACTCCTGAAATCCTTGAAACTGTTGAAACATTGAAACTCCTGAAATCCTTGAAACTTTTTTAAACCTGGAAACTGTTGAAAGTGTGGAAACTCCTGAAATCCTTGAACCTCCTGATATCCTTGAAACTGGTTAAATTCTTAAACAGTTGAAATCCTTGAAACTACTGAATGTATTGAAAGTGTCCTTGAAACTGAAAAATCCCCTCACCGCTGAAACAATTTGGTTCCTGTAACTAAGGAAACCTGGTCTGTGGTCATTATCTGGTGGTGGTCTGAGTCTTCGTTTGGGTCTTGGTCTGGTGGTATAATGCAACCTATTAGGTTGCATTATACTGGTTTACATGGAAAAATCCCTATTAGGTTGCATTATACTGGTTTACATGGAAAAATCCCTATTAAGTTGCATTATACTGGTTTACATGTAAAAACCCCTATTAAGTTCCATTATACTGGTTTACATGTAAAAACCCCCATTAAGTTCCATTATACTGGTTTACATGTAAAAAACCCTATTAAGTTCCATTATACTGGTTTACATGTAAAAAACCCCTATTAAGTTGCATTATACTGGTTTACATGGAAAAATCCCCATTAAGTTGCATTATACTGGTTTACATGAAAAAAACCCTATTAAGTGGCATTATACTGGTTTACATGAAAAAAACCCTATTAAGTTGCATTATACTGGTTTACATGGAAAAATCCCTATTAAGTTGCATTATACTGGTTTACATGGAAAAAACCCTATTAAGTTGCATTATACTGGTTTACATGTAAAAACCCCTATTAAGTTGCATTATACTGGTTTACATGGAAAAATCCCCATTAAGTTGCATTATACTGGTTTACATGTAAAAAAAAACCCTATTAAGTTGCATTATACTGGTTTACATGGAAAAATCCCTATTAAGTTGCATTGTACTGGTTTACATGGAAAAATCCCTATTAAATTGCATTGTACTGGTTTACATGGAAAAATCCCTATTAAGTTGCATTATACTGGTTTACATGTAAAAACCCCTATTAAGTTGCATTATACTGGTTTACATGGAAAAAACCCTATTAAGTTCCATTATACTGGTTTACATGTTAAAAAAAACCCTATTAAGTTGCATTATACTGGTTTACATGGAAAAATCCCCATTAAGTTGCATTATACTGGTTTACATGAAAAAAACCCTATTAAGTTGCATTATACTGGTTTACATGAAAAAAACCCTATTAAGTTGCATTATACTGGTTTACATGGAAAAATCCCTATTAAGTTGCATAATACTGGTTTACATGGAAAAATCCCCATTAAGTTGCATTATACTGGTTTACATGAAAAAATCCCTATTAAGTTGCATTGTACTGGTTTACATGGAAAAATCCCTATTAAGTTGCATTATACTGGTTTACATGGAAAAAACCCTATTAAGTTCCATTATACTGGTTTACATGTAAAAAAAACCCTATTAAGTTGCATTATACTGGTTTACATGGAAAAATCCCCATTAAGTTGCATTATACTGGTTTACATGAAAAAAACCCTATTAAGTTGCATTATACTGGTTTACATGAAAAAAACCCTATTAAGTTGCATTATACTGGTTTACATGGAAAAATCCCTATTAAGTTGCATAATACTGGTTTACATGGAAAAATCCCCATTAAGTTGCATTATACTGGTTTACATGAAAAAAACCCTATTAAGTTGCATTATACTGGTTTACATGGAAAAATCCCTATTAAGTTGCATTGTACTGGTTTACATGGAAAAATCCCTATTAAGTTGCATTATACTGGTTTACATGTAAAAACCCCTATTAAGTTGCATTATACTGGTTTACATGGAAAAATCCCCATTAAGTTGCATTATACTGGTTTACATGAAAAAAACCCTATTAAGTTGCATTATACTGGTTTACATGGAAAAATCCCTATTAAGTTGCATTGTACTGGTTTACATGGAAAAATCCCTATTAAGTTGCATTATACTGGTTTACATGGAAAAATCCCCATTAAGTTGCATTATACTGGTTTACATGGAAAAAACCCTATTAAGTTCCATTATACTGGTTTACATGTAAAAAAAACCCTATTAAGTTGCATTATACTGGTTTACATGGAAAAATCCCTATTAAGTTGCATTATACTGGTTTACATGGAAAAATCCCCATTAAGTTGCATTATACTGGTTTACATGAAAAAAACCCTATTAAGTTGCATTATACTGGTTTACATGGAAAAATCCCTATTAAGTTGCATTATACTGGTTTACATGAAAAAACCCCTATTAAGTTTCATTATACTGGTTTACATGGAAAAATCCCCATTAAGTTGCATTATACTGGTTTACATGAAAAAACCCTATTAAGTTGCATTATACTGGTTTACATGGAAAAATCCCTATTAAAGGACAACTCACCCTCAAATCCACTTTTTTTTGCTGATAAACGGTATAAATGAGTGTCCAATAGTGTTGTCTACATATCCTGGTCATAATCTTGTCACTTTGGTGCAAATTAGTTGAAAGTTATGGTGCGTTCAGACCAAACGCGATTTCTGCGGCCAAATCGCATATATCGCGCGGCTTGAGCCGCTTGTGACAAATTGTGGCAGCCGCTGTCACAGAGAAACTTGGCCGCGCGGCCAGGACACTAGAGGGCAGCCGCTGTCACAGAGCGTTGAGAGCGTCTAGGGGCGGGGCTTGTCTCTTTTGCCTGTAGCTTCCCAAAATGGATGTCAGCGAAGGAGTTGCTTGGCTCTATCTAATAAATAAAGCCAGACACGTCGTCAAAGGGCGAATCGACGACGTGTCTGGATTCACCAGATAGTCCGTAGACGGTTGGAGTTTGGTGAGTTTCACCATTTGCTCCGGGAGCTGCGCTCGGATGAGGGTCGCTTTCAGCGGTACTTTCGTCTCTCCCTGGCCCAGTTTGACGACCTACTGACCCGCATTGGCGCAAGGATCACCTACCAGGACACCAACTACAGGCGCTCTATTCCAGCTGAAGAGCGCCTGTCCATCTGTCTGCGGTTAGTGTTTTTTACCCCATTCGGAATTCCTAAATACTTACAAAGTTTGTCATTTTTCAATCACAATCCACAATGTAATAGCTCAGAAAACAGTATTATGCAACAATATGGTGTCTATGATTACTGTCTATGATGTTTACTGTCTACTAGTTTAACGTATTTTATGCTACACAAGTTTTGTCACGTGATTGTTATGAATGTAATTGTGATAAATATGTTCATATCATTTTGTAATTGCAGGTTTCTTGCCACTGGGGACTCCTACAGGACCATTGCGGGGAGCTTCAGAGCGGGCATATCCACCGTCTCCATGCTCATCCCAGATGTGGTGGCAGCCATCTGGGACTGCCTCGTGGAGGAGTTCATGGCTGTGCCTGGAGCAGAGGAGTGGAGGTCCATAGCGCAGGACTTTGAGGTCCGATGGAACTTCCCTCTGTGCTGTGGGGCCATTGATGGGAAGCATGTGGCTGTGAAGGCACCCCCCAACTCTGGGTCCATGTTTTTTTAATTATAAGGGGCACCATTCCCTTGTGCTCCTGGCTGTAGTGGATGCCCAGTACAAGTTCAGGGTGATTGATGTGGGAGGGTACGGCAGATCCAGCGATGGAGGCATCGTGTCCAACTCCTGCCTTTGGTGAGGCTCTGCGCGAGGGCACACTCGACCTGCCTCCTGACCAGTGCATACCTGGAGCTGACCACAGAGGACCCCAGCCCCATGTGTTCGTGGCAGATGAGGCCTTTTCACTGCGCTGCAATTTAATGCGCCCTGCCCATCTCCAGGATGAGGATGAGGATGGCTGGAGATGGGCAGGTTCCTGCACCGAGGGGAGCTGCTGTCGGTGAAGAACCACTTCCAGGCGTGCAGCGGATGGCCGCCTGGAAGCCAGCAGTGGACATAAGGAAAGTGTTCATGGCCCACTTCAGTGAGGAGGGAGCACTGCCGTGGCAGCCCACAGAGTAGTCATGTCCACCACAAGACTGACCCACATCTGGCCATAGTCCAAACCCATATTGATTTGCACTATTCTATTCACCTGTATACCTTCTGTTTCTAGGTAATGACTGCCAGACTCCACTCCAACTTCAGGTTAATCATATGCACATTCAAGCTTTTCCATAATTACAAGGTTGTTAAAACAGTAAAAGGTGAAATGAATAAAAAATACTGTCAACTACTGTATCGCTCTTTAAGTGTTCGTTATTCCATCTTCTATAAAACCCAGTCAGCTCTTATAAAAGTAAATGTACAAATATTTTCTGTCAATATTATATGAAAGGTAGTAATGGTTGGCTTGAAGTAGAACACATGAGGTTTGAAAAATATTTTCTTTATAAAAAAAGGAACAAACAATGAAAAATAAATGAAATGTACATATAAACAAATGAAAAGGAGCTTGCTTGGAGGAGGTGCGGTGGAAGAGGAAAGGGACACATGTCTGTTTCCTCCCCTGCAAAAGGTGTCACCTTAGGTCAAAAAACTGTCTGTTCTGGCCAATGGTTCCAAATTAAGCGAACGGTGCTGCTTTCATATAAAAGTTGGTACATTTTGAATTTCACAAATTCTTTTGACTCTGGTGCCACCCTTTGCAGGAGAGGAAAGAGAGAGAGCAGGAACTGATGTTCTTCTGAGTAGTCGGGCGGTCCGGCTGCTTTGGTCCGTA